GTTCCTTTTTTATTATTATATACATTTAATATCCATTTTCTCAATGAATGACCAGGAAAACAAAAAATTGTACTCAAAATAAAAAAAAATACTTAGTATTTAAATACATTTTTTAAGGGGAGGGTATTATGCAAAATTGACGTACTAACACTTGCTAGTACAAAGCACCACCTATTTACCCAAAGCTCCTCCCTGGTGCTCATTCTGAAGCCGAGCTCCGGCCCCACAGAGCTCCACCAGTCTAGCAGGAGCAACAATTGGCAAACACCTGGTGGAACTTCTGTTGATCTTGTAATACTTCTCAGTATTAAAAAATGCATTAATCAAGAAAACACACTTTTGAATTTGTATTACCAAGAAGAAACAATAATAATCCATTAGTCTTATATAGTGCTTTTTGAGACCCTCAAACACTTTACAATTTTTCATGGATCCTTCATTCACACACTGATGATAGTAAGCTACACTGTAGCCACAGCTGCCCTTGGGGCAGGCTGACAGAGGCGGGGCTGCCATACTGCTCCACCGGCCCCTCTGACCACCATCAGTAGGCAAGGTGGGTGAAGTGTCTTGCCCAAGGACACAACGACTGAAACGGCTGGACTGGAGATCGAACCGGCGACCTTCCAGTTCCAGGGGGACTCCCCTAACCACTCTGCCACGGCCGCCCCGTATTTCATGGATATGCATGTCACAGGCACTTTAAGTTCGGTGAGGTCAGCTAAATGAAAAGTTAAAGAAGTGGATTGTTCTAAATGATTTCAGATTTGTGTATATTATATTGTTCTGATGGAAATCAATACAAATCAACACAATAGAATAAACAGATATTGTACACATTATTGTTCCCTGGGAGCTATTTATTTTGGTCTCAGTACTGAATCAATGTCTATTTTCACAAACATTTTATGAAGACACAGACTAAGCAAATTTACATTATGCAAACCTAATCCACCAATCCATACACTTTTTATTTTCAAATGTTAGGAAAAACACTCTCTAATCAGTACTTTATATTTTAAGACTAGGAGTCAATTTTATTGCACCACCTGATGTTTTCTTCTACTACTTACTTGAATTGTCACAGAAAATAAATGAAAAAAACTTAAATCCAGACATGATGCATCAGTAAATTAAAGCAAAAGTTCTGTTCTTTATTTGATCTGAGTGTGGTAAAACTATAATAATGCACTGAAATATGGCCACATGTTTCACAGTGATCCTATATTTGACTTAAAAGGCAAACTTTCACATCAAGATGGTATTTAAATGTGACGTACTTTACCAATACAGTAACAGTGCCTATGGATACTAACCTTATGAATGCTAAATGTATCTGAAATACCACAATATAAGTGGATAACACATAAAAGTGAGATAAAGTTTATATTGTGACTTAAGCTTTATAGTTGTTCATTTTGATTAAATGTGGCTGCAGAGACCAAGGTAGTATTCACACCTGATAGTCCGGTAGACTCGGATCGATTGGGGACCAAAATTACTAGATTTGTTTACATTGTCAGTTGGTGCGGTTCGCATTCACACTGCACTTTGTCAACTGAACCAAACCCTGTGAACAACCTGCCCCCCCCCCGATGGCGCTGCACCAAAAACCACTGACGGAAACGACACAAAAATCTCAGAAGAAGACATGAAGTGCAACTTCCTTCTTCACAAAACGTAAACAAACATGGAGTAACGTCAGATTTTAGTGGTTGTAGGATTTATTTTTGTTTTTGGCAAACGTGCCAAACAAATGGTCTTCAACAATGAGCTCAGCATGAGCGGCTGAGACAGCTCCGTATGAGGCAGCGTGCTTTTGGAGCAGTCTCCAGTCTGCTTGGCGTTCACACATGCAACCGAACGGAGACATATGTTTGCAGGCGGACCACAGTTTGCTTTTTTGATTAAAGCAGACTAAAGTGGGCTGGTGTGAATACACCCTAAAAGAGCATCTAACAAATAACGTGATAAAAACAAATTAGCTGGTGCTGAAAAAAAGGAAGTTGATGGGAAAACAATTATTGTACTCATTCAATTCACAACAGTAGCAACATAAAGAAACAAAAACAAAAGCTTTATAGGGAAACAGACATTTAAAAACTAAATTGGTAAAAAAAAGAGAACTGCATCATTTATGAGAGAGTGAGGACAGGTGCTGAGAGAGAGACACAACACCTGTCTGTGCACGTGTGTGTGTGAGACGAGGGCACGAAAGAGAGAGAAGGGGATGAAATATCATCCCACTAAGAACATGAAGTCATTCAACACAAGAAGGAAACACACCCCTGACACGAAGACAAGAAACCATTACATCACGGGTGTGTCCGTGTGTGTGTGTGTGTGTGTGTGTGTGTGTGTGTGTGTGTGTGTGTGTGTGTGTGTGTGTGTGTGTGTGTG